AAATAAGTTTTGACTTCTTTAATTGCGAGTCACAGCCTGTGTAAATATTCCTCCTCAGACTGCCTCGGCTCTACTATCTTTGCACCGATCAAGGCTGACATATCGGGTAACATCACAGTAAGTACGGCCCTTGACTTCTACATTGCTAATGGATGATACAATGATGCAATAACTGTTTTATTTAACAGAAAATCAAGTCCATTTATGATAGCAACCCTGGACGGTTCAAGACTCTCCAGCAGATTTTGGAGGCAGAGAAGGAAATGCATGGAGGAGAATGGCCCAAAGTTGGAGCAACTTTGGCACTTATGTGGCTAAAAAGGTGTGAGAAACTCTACATTTTAGACCAGGGGTGTCAAACATAAGGCCCAGGGGTCAGAATCAGCCCAGCAAAGACTCCAAGTAGGCCCGGTGGACGATTTTCTAAAACATGAAGGAGGGCATATATTTTAAACTTTTAACTATATTTTAAAATGTAGTTTTAAAAATACTTTCAACTATCAATTTGACATCTTTTCCTGCTGATAAAGAATCCCCAACAGCCATTCATACCACGGCAAACGTTCTGCTAGCACTCTGGGCTCAGAGTGCTAGCAGAACTTTTTCTGTAATTTTACACATTTATCATTATAAAAACTGAGATTTTCTGTTGAAACAACACTTCTTCATCTTTTATTAATATATCTTAGGGACTGACTGTGTAGTTAAAAGTCCTTACATTGACAGAAAGTGGAGTTTCACTCTTCTGTCAATGCCACTTAATGTGGCCGTCGATGTAAAATGAGTTTGACATCCCTGTCTTAGACTGTTGTGCTGCACTTGCTTCGTCAAGCTGAGAAAAGTCCTCGTCCATAATCACTGTGCATGTCTTCTTGTCCAAAAGGGGTCTAAAATTCATCCAAGTTTTCCTTCAGAGCCTGGTGGACGGTGAAAAGGACGAGAACAATCCAAACCTTATCCGAGTCAATGTCACCAAAGCCTATGAAATAGCACTTAAAAGATATCACGGCTGGTTTGTGCAACAACTGTTCAAGGTGCATTCAAAGTAGCTACAACTTTTTTTTTTATACAATAAATGTGTCATAAGCGCATTAGACGCGTAGGCTTGTGAGTAAAATCTGTGCTTGTTCTTATAGGCGGCTCTTTTTGCTGCTCCGTATAAGTCCGATTTCCTGAGAGCCCTCTCCAAGGGTCGGGATGTCAAGGAAGAGGACTGCTTGGAAAAAATCAGAAAATTTCTCATCAACTTCTCTGCAACTGTTGATGCTATATATGACATGTACAATAAGATGAATGCTGATCTAGACTACACAGTGTAAATGCAGGACTTCCCTGCGTTTTCCTCAGTGGGAGTGATGTAATCATTAAGTCGTTTATGTTCAGTAGCTCTGCAGTCCACATGTTTAAAAGACAGCTCACTGTGACAGAGCATAATATTCACTTCCGGCTTTGCTGGTGAATCTTTTCCTCAATCTTATTTGATTCTGGGACGAGAAATCCAAATATAGCTATACAGTAAATATTGTTTTTACATAACAATTGCATTTCTTTACTCTGTGTTTGAACATTCGTGTTGCATTCAGCTTTTAAATTATTGTTGGGTGTTTATATCTATTCTTATGAGTACTCAGTACACAGAAATGTGTTAGAACTTTACCAGGAATCAAAGTTAACTTAACCAGACAGGACCGAGACGTTAATATGTGGGATATCTGATGCTGATATATTTAATCAGCCTGTGACAAGTCATCACAAAATATAAGATTAATTATGAATTAGAAAGTTTCTAATCACACGGAGGAAACAATATAAATTGGGAAACGGTTTAATTTTGCCATTATAATGGGTGTCATAGTGTCATGCTACCTTTAAGCAATATCTCTCTAACACAGGGCTCTATGGTAGTTACACTGAAGTGAATACAGAGAGAGAAGAATCCATATGTTTCAGCTTATCCACCAAACACTGTATTGTATAGCTGTCTGTGATTGGAGTTAAACTTAATCATTACCTGCACTACAACCAGCAATCACTATCATGACTTCCAGTATTTAGGGCTCCTCTCTCTATTCCTGCTCTACATGAACATTCTCTATTGCACACACCTGTTTGTGCCTTAAGCTGGAGGTGCGGCTCATTTAAGCGACTGTGTCAGCTTTTCTGTGTTTGATTGTTTTTATTGTTTTATACATCATTCACTATTAAAGGCAAAGTCTGCCTAACGTATACTTAGCTGCTATGCTAAGTTGTGCTGTCTTAAGCAGTGCTTCATCAGTGTTTCTCATTCTAAAGGCGCTTTTTACCCTTTAAGCATCATTTTAAAAAGGTTTTTCATTGCAGTTTTTCACATCTCTAAAGGAGTAATTTCAAGTAAATGTCAAATGATTGATGAGTGTGGTGTGTCTTCTCGCATTATGTTGCAGTGTGTGTACTGTACAAGAAAACGAATATTTTTCTTTCATATTATGTATTAAAAAATGACAGTTTGTGTGATTATCAATGAAATTATTTGTCTTCTTTAGTTTGTTCCCTATCATTGTGTAATTAATGTGTGTAATTAATGTGTAATTAATGTGTATTGTTCAACCCCCATTTCTTTAGATTTTGCTTCTAAGAAGCCAGACTTTCTTGTCATTTTTTAAAGGAGGCCTTGAGCAATAGTTCTCCACGCTTTCAGAAGGTCTTTCAAAGTTTCTCTTTAACCATTGGCTGATTTTTCACTCATTTTCAGTCCAGTCCTTGCACCTTATCATTTTCAAAGGAATGCTTTTTGTTTGCTAAACCACTTAACACTGACCTATGACCTATTTATGCATAAAAAAGACACCCGACACAAGGGATGAGCCAGTGTTGTCGCTCCACCTAAAAGACAACTTGGGAAAGAAACTATCTTAAATTCTATCTTTAGGAACTTGTCTACTACCAGCCTGTCACAAAACATATAATTTCTCCCTATTTCTTTATCTGAATTGCTGAAAAATGCCAACGCTAACACAGTTTGATATGCATGAAATAGTATTTTTGCACCAATAAGGGGATCTCAGTGGAAGGGTGGCTGTCAAATAGGCATTCTTAAGGAAGAGAAACAGAGAGCCAAAATTACACAAGAACTGGAATAAGAATCAGTGGCAACAGGTTTCATGGAGTGACGAATCTAAATGTGAAATTTTTAGTTACAGTAACAGAATCAACTTACTTGGATTTCCTCACCGGGATTTTTTTTTTTAAACATGGATTAAGATACAGGAAAGCTTGGCTTTCCAGGTTATGTTGAAGGAAAAGAAATGCTGACTTTCAAACTCATTCGAATTTTATAAACTCCGTTTTTGCCTTATATATTGTGTTTCCACATTTAATGTTTATACTAAATCGCTGCACTTGTTTCCAATTTTTCTTGCAAAATATAAAAGAAATGAAGGGTGGCTCAAATTTTGTAATGAAATACTTTTTGATAGTAATCTTGTCTGTGACCACCAATGACAGTTTTGTTTGTCAATATTTTTACAATAAGACATCTCTATTTTTACAGCAATCTCAGTGCTTGGGCTAACCTTGAATGCTAAAGCTTTTTTTACATTATGTGGGGGTCAGTGATAAAATATACACAGTGAAGCAGCTTTAAAAGCAGTAAATGACAACATCAAAAGAAGTGGCTCTTTGTTTTGATAACTGCTCAGACATTCTTATTCTTTTGTATAGTGCCTCATGTTCCTTTTGTTGGGCTTGCCACACCCTCCTCATAGGAATTTAGTAAACTCTTCTCCGCTCCATTGTGCGAGTTTGAAGAGTGGAATAGAGTGTCAGAATCTGACAAACTGCTGCTGTGTGAAGGTATGTTGTTTCAGCAGTGCATTCATGTGTTTTTGGCACAGAAAACCAGGTTAACAATTAACTTTCAATCTCTGCTTTGGTTTAGCATAAAATTAGATGTCTTCAAAATAAAATGAAAATTCCAGAATAGTGTGGTGCAAAAGAAAACAAGTGCAGTGATTTATTGAACCATGTGCAAATATTCATGGAAATACTGCATATAAGGCAAAAAACAGACTTTGCACAATTCTATCAAATTTACATTTTTCATCATTGACATGCTGAAAATTGAAGCTGTTGCCAATCAGATGCTTTCCAGATGGTTTTGCAGGGTGGATCAAAGTCTGACTGCATTTTTTTTGCTTTCTTTGTTTTGATAAGATTACAACATCCCGGCCTGAAACGCACCAAGTTTTTGTGTGTTTTACAGATGGGTGTAGACACTGTTGCACCTCTCTCCCCTGACCTCCTCTGTACATTCTGACAACGATGATTTGAACCAAAAATTTCACATTGAAATTCAGTACTCCATAACCAGTCCAGTTCTTGTATGATTTGGCATACCTTAGCCTTTTTCTCTCTCTTTCTCTTCCATAAGAATGGTTTCTTGACAGCCACCCTTTCACTGAGACCACCTTGTTAGTGCAAAAATACTATTTTGTGCCTGTCAAACTGTGTTATCTTGACATTTTCAGTAGATTCAGCTGAGTAAATCAGCACAAATTATATGTTTTTGTGACAGGCTGCTATTAACAAAGAGACTAAAGATAGAATTTCTTTCCTAAGCTTTCAAACAAAACACTGGTTGATCCCTTGAGTTAGGTGTCTTTTTATGCATGGAAGGGTCATAGGTCAGTGTTAAGTGGCTTAACAAAGAAAAAGCATACCTGTGAAAATGATAAGGTGCAAGGACTGGACTGAAAAAGCATCCAATGTCCAAAGAATCTTTTTAAAAATACTTTCAGAAAGCCTGGAGAACTATTGCTCAAAACTACTTTTAAAAAATGACATGAATTCTGGCTCCGTTCTTTATAATTTTGCTCACTGGAACCAAAATATAAAGAATGACTCATGACTTTTGCACAGTAATGTTGATATGACAGAATGAGAGGTACTGTAGACAAAAAACAAACAAGCAAGGAAACAGATAACGTCAGCTCGGAACTGTTGTTTATGGCGGTACAAGAAGAGGAGAAAATTCCTGGTGCACCATAGTGGCTTGTAATGGCATGTAAATTGTGCTCAGGTGTCTTTGTAATTCCAGGAAAAATCCGGAGACTTCACTGAAGTCAGCCTCGAGCGGCATTGGAGTCAACACCTAGCGGCCACACGTGGTACTTCACCTCAAAACTTCCGTGTTGGCTCCTGCTTTGAGGCAAGGATGTGGTCACTTTGTCCCACCCAAAGTTTGTGAAAGCGGCCGTTGTTCTGTGAGACTTTAGGGCAACTGTTTTAGCTAATTCACTTTCATCTGGATGCCTGGAGTTGCATTAAAGCTGAAGATGCATTCAAGGAGCGCACAGTAGATCAGAGAAAACACGTCCAAACGTTCTATGGGATAAAGTTACGGAGCAGACTGTAAACATTTCTAAGAAAATGAAAACTGGATTTACTGGTTAGAGGAAGGTAAGGAATATACCATACTCTTTAACGGCTTCTTCTGCTAAAGAAATAGAAATATTTTACTGTATCTGTGTTAGCTGAATAATTAATGAGAGTTGCGCACAAACTTTTTTTTTTTAAATAATACCTTAGTGTAGAAAAAGTGATATGAATTTGTATGTTCATTATTCTTCTTATTAGTTTTCATCATAATTTATTTTTAACGTCGTTTTTGTGCTTTTAAAAATATAAAAACACTTTCCCGTGTTCTTTTATTTTCTTACTTATTAATATAAATATTAATATAAATGAGATGTTTGTATTTTTTTTACGCTATTATCTTTCAAACTCTTAAAATCTATTTCAACTAAAGACTTACTCAAAATCATAATTCTAATCTTGTTCTTTTGCTTGCTCTTCTTTCCTGCGCTCGTTTGGCACAGTCGTCACGCTCTGTGGCTCTGGATAATGTCACGTTAGCTCTGGCAAAGCAGGAAATCCCACATCCCTGAGGGGACCCTCAGTGTCACTCACAGTGAGAAACTTTCAAAAGTGAATTTCTACTTCTCGACCCCATTAATGGATAATATGAGCCTTGGGTCAACTTGATGTTTTATGATCCCATCCTATCACTCTGATCCAGAAACCCTTAGTAATGCAGTCTTTGCTCTTAGTGTTTCAGTCTTCTTATAATCAGGGGCAGCCTTTTGTTATGCCTGTCTTTTTACCATCAAATGCCCACTGAGGTGTAAAGGCATGATAATCCAGTGTGTCAAAAGGGGCTGTGAGTCATTTCTCTTGCTTCAGTGGGACCCCAGGTTTATATTGTTTGTATTGCTTCTTTTACAGCAGAGTTTGGCTTAGATTGGTTGGCTGTCTTGAGCAAATTCAGAAAGACCTGTTTTTTTTTTAAAGTCCATGCTGCACAAAGTGTGAGAGTATGCTGCAGCTGTACTGTGTGTGTGCATGTGTTTTGCGTAGAGATACTATAATATATGCATCTGTAATAGAAAAACATTCAGAGCATTCATTTAGTAAATGTCCCGTGTTAAACAGGAAGGTGGTGTGATTCTGCCTTCTAGAGAAAACACGCTCAACCGACCAATGGGAGTCAAGACTCGTACTGATGTTGGCATTGCTCCTTTTTTAAAGTTTTCCATACATCCCTCCTCTAAACACAGACACTCTTGTTGTATCACTAGGGACATACCGATGTTTCGTCTGTACTCTTGTGCCACTGTTTTACTTGATGCTTACTTTTCTTTGCTCTGGACAGCGCCCACATGCTTCAGCATCATTTCCAGTTTCCCCCCGAAGAGGAATTTGGCACATCATTGTGATAAAAGGGATGAATGAGGTACAGAGCACTCCTAAATGCATGATGTTAAATCTACTTTACGCTTTAAATGTGGATTTCAAGTGCCACTGTGGTAATTGCAGTCTTAATACATCTTCTCTTTAGTCAGAATAATGTGTTGCTGAGTGCAGTTTGCTCATCATATTGTCTAATGTTAAAAGCACTGCTGTGCAGCGTTAAATAAAACTGGCATATTACAGTTTAACCCTGCACAGAAATGCCATATAAAGTATTTAATCTGGTTTTTATAAATGTATTGATCAGTCAGATCTTGGGATTTTTACCAACTTGTTTTTTAAAATTGCATGTCTAATACCATTTCATACAGACAGCATATAAATGGGAGTCACTGACGCCTTTCTAAGGCTTTTACCCTTCAGCAAGCAACTTGGCGGTGGTGACCACTGGAGACTGTGCTTGTGTCTTATATCCTCCTTCCTAATGTGACCTGAGAAAATGATCAGGTCCACTATAATTAAATACAGCTCAGCTCTCTCTCTTGTAATAGCAAGCAAGAGCTTGAAATAAAATAATAGTAATAATGAAATGACCAAAGATCCTTATCAAATATTCTAGCTGGCACTTTCTTTATTAATATATTAGAAAAGTTATTTTTCTACATAAATAAACAGATTTAATATTTATCTTTTTGTTTTAAACAAGACCTTTGTGACATTTAAAGAACCTGCTGCTTCCTCACAACATTTTTATCATTTGTATTCCAGGGGCGATCTGC